ATGTCAGGGCTCTTGTGCAGGCCAGTCAAGTTCTTCCACACCAAACTCCCCCAACTATGACTTTATGGACCTTTGTGCACTGGGGCACAGTCATTTGAAACAGAAAATGACCTTCCCCAACTGTTCCTACAAAGCTGGAAGCATAGGTTTATCCAAAAGGTTGGATAGCTGAAGGATTAGGAATTACCACCATTAGAACTAAGGGGCCTAGCCCAAACTTTAGAAAACCTTCATCCCTCCTCCTCCAAACTTTACACTTGCCACAATGCAGTCAGGCAGGTAAAGTTCTCCTGGCATCCGCCAAACCCAGACTTGTCCATCAGACTGCCAGACAGAGAAGCGTGATTCGTCACTCCGCAGAACGCGTTTCCACTGCTTTACACCACTCCAGCTGATGCTTGGCATCGCACTTGATGTGAGGCTTGCATGCAGCTGCTTGGCCATGGAAGCCCATTCAATGAAGCTCCTGGTGCAGTTTTTGTGCTGCAGTTAATGCCAGAGGAAGTTTGGAATTCTGCAGTTACTGAGTCAGCAGAGTGTTAGGAACTTTTACGCACTATGTGCCTCAGCACTCAGCGACCCTGCTCTGTTACTTTATGTGGAATTTCTGTTGATCCTAAATGCTTCCACAGTGCAGTAATACCACTTACAGTTGACCATGGAATATCTAGCAGGGAAGAAATTTCACAAACTGACTTACTGCAAAGATGGCACATTATGGTAGTATCATGCTTCAATTCACTGAGCTCTTCAGAATTACCTGTTCTTTCACAAATGTTTGTAAACCTGACTGTATGGATAGGTGCTTGATTTTACACAGCTGTGGCAATGAGTCTGAATAGAACACCTGAATTCAATGATTAAGAGGTGTGTTCCGATACTTTTATCCGTATTACGTATTATGCTATGCCATTTACAAGTTAATGGGAGGCACACACAAATAATAGGCTCATGCTTTTATTTATTATTATTAATTATTATTATAGTAAAATCCCATTATAGTGGACTCGCTCATAACGGAATATCGTCTATAACGGACGAGGTCCGCTGGTCCTGGTCGTGCGCCTTAGAACCTGCAGAAAAAGCATCGGATATAGCGGACTCACATATAACAGAATTTCACTGACAACGGACAAACAATCTGGTCCCCAGGGCCGCTTTTAGCTGTAGTTTTGTTCGGCTATAACGGACATGCAGCTCGCCTACAAGGTGCCTGGCGTGCCGGAGATATCCAGTGCAGATACGTAGTCGGGATTATTAATAGTCACGCATCTGATCAGGTAAAGTTGGATTACTACATGTATAATATAATAATCTATACAAGTGTGTCTGCTGGGGTGTGGCATGAGTAAATGGTGTCCTGTAGTTGTATTCTGGGCATACAGCAACTCTGGATATAACGGACTGTTTTGCCAGGTCCCTTGAAGTCCGTTATAACTGGATTTTACTGTATTATTAGTGCCAAGCATTAATTTCAATGCTTCGGCAACGCTGCTTAAATGTATGCCACATTTATGAAGCAGATTTTATTGAACAGAGAGAGATGGGGGACAGGGGTTCAGCTGGAAATAAAGAAAAAAGGGGGAGTGAAAGGCAGAGGCAGAGAAACCAAGGGTTAAATGAAGGAGAGAGCCTGCTTACTGACAGCCCCTCGTATAGAGAGGCATGCTATCACTATCCCGCATCTCTGCAGGCTGCCTGGGACCACGGCCGGGAGACAGACCTCCTGTAGTTACCCAGCATCAGCAGCCAGCAGGCCCTCCAGCTTAGGGGACAGCAGGGGGTGTCGCTCACGCCAACTTTGTTCTAAGGGGTTATCGTTGGGGGTTTCCTGTCAGTAAGCTCATCGCTGGAAAGGGATACCAGGCTAATCTGTGCTCTGCTTTACAGGCTCCGCTCTCTTCGCCTTGGGGCCCATGTGCCTTCTGAAGAGCAGAGAGGAAGCAGTAAAACTCCATGAAAAGATGAAAACAAAAGCCTGATAGTCGGGCCACTTGGCTTGCTTCGAAGTCAAAGGTCAAACACGGGGTCGGGGCTGCCGAGGTTAACACAGCCCAGTGCACTGCTGCGCAAACTGCGAAACTTCAATAAGCTCCAAAGGTAAAAGCAAACAAAAGAAACAGATTTCTCAGCATGAAAGTCTTTGCCAAAATGAGCTCAGCTGTCCAATGGCCTCCTCTGACCTGAACAGCTAGTTCTGTAATGCCCCCCCCCCCCAAAAGGAACAACTTCCTCTTCATCTACAGGCCTGTTTCCATAAAACAGCAACATTATTCCCTCCCTTCCTGCATATTCAACTCTTTGCTTTTCGTTCTTTCTTTATTGAAATTGATTTCCTTAGCAGGGACTTCAAAGCAATAATTTATAGATATTTTATTTATTCAGCAGAAGCTTTAATCCAAGCTTTAAAAGAAATCAAAGTCAGACAGCCCCTGGAGTAACTGGGGTCAAGGGCTTTGCTTAGAGACTCGGATAGATAGCACTAAGGCCCCTCTAAAACATACCTTTTTCAGTTTTGAGGTGAACTGCCCCTTTAACATCTCCGTCCCATACTGTAAAGAATCTCCATGCAACACACGTTACCCGTAAGTGTTTTACCTCACCCATCATGCAACATCAGTGGGGGGACGGAAGGTGAGGAGTGGGGGACATAAGCAACACAGTAAATGGTACACAACTTGGTTGGCTCACGAAATTGGCCATTTTTAGGTGCCAATTAGGGCAAAAAAATCAGCTATTTCTGGTCTTGTGCCGATTGATTGGTGCATATTTTGTTGTGCATTTCACACAAGTGAAAATAAAGGACTTATATTGATTAAATGTACTTTGCTGAAATTATTAATTTAGACATGCTAGAATAATGGTAATGAATTTCACCATGTCAGGGGACTGTCAGTTGCAAAGCCCCATGGAGTTTTTTTTTCTCTAGGGCCCCAGAATCAGCTCCTGCCAATGACGTTAACCACAGGGAGGTGACATGGGCAGAGAGCCATCTGAGTCAAGGACAGTACAGAAAGACAAGGAACTAAAGTCCAGCCGATGACCCTCAGCCTTCATTTTGACATCTTGCTCATTTAGCAAGGGCTGTCATCCAAAGCAATGTAAAGGGACTAACAGCCTTGCTCAAGGGCCCACTGGTGAGATCACTGTATTTGAACCACCAGACGTCCCATCACAGGCACAGCATCCTAACCTGCTGAGCTGCACGGCTTCATGCTCCCTGGCCTCCTCTGACCCTACAGCCACCCCTGGCATGGCTCGCCCCGACCGCACTCTCTGCCTGCAGCAGCACTGCTGGCATGTTTGAGAAGAGTGAGGTCTGGTGGGCAGTTAACTGCAAGGCACTGACGACAATGTGACTTACAGCCTGATGAGGAATCAGAAAACTGGACATCTGGCTGAAGCAGAGCCCAGGAACCTTGAGATCAGTAGAGATTAAAAAAAAAAAGAAAAACCAAACAAGATCACACCCACATCCAATTTGTAATAGGTACGCTGATCATAGGTTCCACCCCCTGTTACGTCAGGTGCTGCAGGACCAGTCCTCCACCAATCAGAATGGCAACCCAACCGCTGCACCAATCAGAACGCAAGTCTGGCAATACAGCCAACTGCTGCGGCACCAGCACTGCCTGCCGTCCGTACCCAGCATGCACTGCTGTGACCTCCAAAGCGCTACTTGCGCCATGGGGTGGCTCACGGCGACCCAAGAGGGGTTAGCGGGTTAGCGTGGCATAGTGAGGACACCCAAGACCGCGGGGTGTGGAATGTTGCGCACTCGCAACCTCTCTTTGTACATCGTACTGCCATCCATCGAGTCACACGGTCAATGTTTAATGGCTATGAAGAAAAGCACCTTAACCAATAAGGCTACAGACTCATTGGTTATAAAAAATTACAGAAAAACACATAATATTAGAACATTATTTGTTATATTATCACGCTGATTACCATTATTGATAAAACTGTTGCTGCTAATGTTATATTACACACTGCAATTGTTATTTCTGTAATTACTGCTTCACAATGGAACAATAAGACAAAACTATTACAAAGCATGGATCAATGGATGAATTATTGCTCCCATATATCATATGCCCATTTTCACGGTACCTGTTACCATAGCTGTCCATTTGGCAATTTTAACCACTAAAGAGCCAAATTCCCTTAAAAAGTGCTGTCTCAGAAGCACTTGGTCACTAGCCTTATAATTACCACGTCAGTGGGAGTGCATCTGCTCTCGGAAAGAGAACGGAGACTCTAATTGCAATATGTCAGTCAGTAAATTTGCATGCTCAAGAGGCCCTGCCTTGTCAAGTGTATTCCTGACGTCTTCCTTCCATTTTAAAACGCATCGCCGCGGTGCTATTTTTAGCTTTCCCCGACCAGATTTGCTGAGTCCTGGGGGGTGGGGTAGGCTGGGTGCGAGGAGGGGGGTGTTGGCATATTATTTCAGGAACATCACGTGAGAAGCTTTTTAACGCCACCGACAGCTGATACTGATACCGTCTTTGCCCGGACGGGAAGGAGGGGTGGGTGACGAGAAAGCGTAGGAGATGGAGCTATAGCCCTAGAAATTGTGCTGCATCCAGGCCAGATCATACAGGCACAATAGGCGAATGAATAAAACGCGACCCCTCCCCGTATGTGAACCGCACGCATCTCCAGCGGAACCTGTGTCCCCCTTCACACAGGCCGCCTCATTGGTATTCCTCGGCGAGCTCCGGGTTTACAATGGGCCGATTTGTGTGCGGGGTTAAGCGCTGAATTGTGTAGTTGAGTGTCGTCGTGGCCTTGGTCTCATAAACAGTCTATCCTGCTTACCACCTCCTCCCTATTTGCAGTAAATCCAATATAAATATATATTTATGGGTCTGGTCGAATTTTCCACAGCTTTCACACAACGAACCGGGATTTTAAGTGTTTCTGCAATCGCAGTTAATTATGGGTTATATCCGCGTTTATCCCCACGGTCCGGTAAACCTGAAAGCGTCGCTCACCTGGTGCTGGTTATAGTTGTTCCTATGCTGGAGATAGGCGCCCTGGTGTTGCTGGTGCATCTGCGGACTGACCGGGGACCGCCGGCTCTGCTGCGGCTGCGGGACGTTGATCTGGGGCGAGAAAGGGCTGCCGAAGCCCGGCACGTTAATCCCCGCACAGGGATTAGGCGAAACTGGCGAGAAACTCTGGAAGAACGCCGGGTTGATGGAGGAAGGGAGCCCGGGGTAGAAACTGTTGTCGGGTTCGGTGCCGGAGACCTGGTTCATAGCGTTTGCGTGATTCGGGTTGGTGGAGCTAGTGACAGGCGGCGGCGGGGAGCTGGTCTGGACCGACCACGGGGTTCCGAATCCGGGTAAGGTCGGGGATGTGGAGCCGCCCGCATTCTGGTGCGGACTCTGCATTTCTGCGTTCGGGAGGCTGGGGAAGCCGGCTCCGAGACCGCCGGCCAGCATGCTAGCGGCGCCGTTTCCATTGCCGTTGTTAATGAGGTGGGCGGTGGGGGAGTCCATTTGGATCTTGACCTTGTTCGGATTCGCGGAAGAGGGCGACGGTGACGCAGCGGTCAACACATTGGCGTCGACGTCCTCGGCTGATAAGGGGGCGACCCGACCGGGGCTCCCGTTCGAGCTGTGTTCCGACTCGGGAGACGCTCGGTGGTGCTGGGTTATAGCGGGATAATGCTGCTTCTGTCCGGGGACACTGACCTCTCCCTGGGGTGGGGGCGGCTGCACGGTGCCGAACTCCGTCTCCTGCTGCGGCTGCTGTCCAATGATTTGCTGATGCTTCTTGCGCTGCTGATGAAGGTCACAAATCTGCTGCGTCTGGCCGAATTTCTCTGGATTCACGCTCTTAAAATCGGGCAACTGTTGCTGGTTCTGGTTGAGCCGGTCGTAGTCCGTCCGCGTCCGCTGACCCAGCTGATTGCCGTAATCGGGATTGTTGTTAACACCGCTGCCGTGGCCGGATCGCTGCGCCCCGGTGTGACGGGTCGTGCCGTCGCTGCTGCTGTCGTCGTCGTCGGTGGACGGAGAGTGCCGCTGCTGCTGCCGCTGCGTGATCGTCACACCAAAGAGCAGCTCATCCTGCATGTTTCGCTGTTGCGCAGCAGCGAACGGAAACGGCGAGGACGCGGCGAAGGCGCAGCTGCTGCCGGAGACCGTGAAGCCGCTGGGAGAAACGGGGGAGACTCGGGCACTCGAAGCAAGGGAGGGAGACGCGTAGGACCTGAAGGCTCCTCCGCCAAAGACCGTAGAGCTGCTGTCAATGTTGGCTGTCTGTAACAAACCGAACCCGTAATCACCCATTTATTTGTGTGAAAATAGAGGTTGGAAACGTAAGGTAGCAAATGCAGTTTTTTTTTTCTTTTTCTTTCAAATTTTCTTTATGGACAGTAAACAATGCGAAAAGAGTAGGCTACAATAAAAATGTTACACAACTTATAGTGCTAAGAGAGGGAGGGGTCAAATGAATCTCTAGAAATTTTAACTTCCTGTTTATTTAAATACCTCTGCTTGTAGATTTTTCCAATAATTATTTTCTAAATTCTGGCTTAATTTGGCCGTGCTGGTAACGTGCTCGCTCCGAATGCCCGAGTACGTCCCCTCCTCTCGCTGCCGGGTTGTCTGCTGCAGCAGACGATAAAAAGCTCTCCAATGTACGTCACGGCCGCATCATGATTTATGCCCGACTCCGCCTTCCGTTTATGAATGCAGGACGCCGCCGCAACCAGGACCGCAAAACTCCGCATTGCACACGTCATTGGATTCATTATTCAGGAGGTGCAGTGTCGCGTCATGCTCTCCTGAATATTAAGCAGCTGTATCGTCTTTTCGTTCTGCCTGTTTGTAAGTAAACCGCAGCGGTTTTGGGGTTCCTGCTACGGTAGGCGAAGGTGAAGCTGGAGGGTGGTATCCTGCCACGGCTGAGGGTTCCCCCCTTCTCAATTATCATAATTGCCCCCCAACCCAACTCTAATAAATATACTAATGTGGCTACGTACGTGGACAAAAAGCATTTTAGCGTCTCGGGGATAAGCAAATAAAACCGGTAAGTAATCGATTCATCACCGGTCAAATCCATAAATTGGTCGCTTAAAGAGACGGGGCAGAATGCCTATTGTACCAGTTCGAATTTTATAAACACATTATCACGCTATAATTATATGTGATAAAATCTGGAAACACCAATTATTACTGCGCCCTCCATAGATTACGATAAAACACCTTGGTGTTTTTCTACATTAAATATATCACAGACAGCTGTGCCAATGCGCTCGGTGGCACAGATTGCCGGGGGGCAAGGCGATTGCTACGCGCATTGAAGGCCTCTTGTCCTTTCCTCTGCGTCCCAGGTATGCACGCGAATCCTGTCCATCTGGCGACATCGCGTGCACCGAAAGCGACTGGCTCGTGACGCCTGGGTACGCGCCTGCGGTGATGCTGCCTTATAACAAAGCTAAATGACGCCCGATGCTAAATTTAGCCCTGCAAACGCGTTCACCCACGTCAAAGTGGAATTGTAGTAGAATGTGACATCTTCCGTTTTCTTGATGCAATTATTTTATCTTTCTGTGTAATGGTTTCCTGAATTGCACAAAACTGCTTTCATGTATAACTTTTTACCTTCAATTTTTGTGATTCGGTAAGGCCGCTTCAGTACTTACATCTGTATTTAGAATAGCGTGTAAGGTAGATGCATTACTGTAATTTGTCAAACACTGTTACTGTGTATCAAAAAGTGAACGTGTTTTCCTGTGGAGAGCAAAATAAAAGATATTAGAAGCGATGATGACGGTACAGTCCCCGGCTTTGAAAGGGAGGTGAGCTGGACACAGGATACAAGCAGGTGTTATCGTAATTTTGAATGGAACAGCCCTGTTTGTGCTGTGGGAAGCCCCTAGGCTGGTTCCCCACCCTGCCCCCTACACCCTGCCTGCTCTTACAACTATGCTTGTCCCCCCCCCAAACACAGACATACACTCACTGTACCCTCCCCCACTTTTGAGAATCCGCTGTCTTTAAACCACGCCCCTCCCCCACAGCACATACACCACTCCCCTGACGTTTTGTGCCCCCCATCCTGAAGACAACACCCCCTGAACCCCTCCCACAGTGTCCCCCTCTTTGTCAGTGTCTCGGATACATTAGGGCAGCAGGTTGCATGGTAGTTAATGACAGTCACCTAACCTGATCCAAGTTCCTGGCGGACCCCATCCAGACCGCGGCACTGATACTTAGCAGCATCATTATGTAGTAAAAGGGTTTGCACTTGGCTGCAAAACATCCAGGTAAACGCAGTAATAGTGTAATAAATAATAATTACAACATTTCAGGCTTCCCCACCTGCCTCACGTTGCTCCACCGTAACCGTGACATATCCTTCCATTTCCCATCCCCCACTGGAATTGTCCCTGGTTCTATTGGAGAGAATGGGAATTAGATGGGGCAGGATGGACCGGCAGTAATCCTCAGAAACACAAAGATGCCCCATGTGCACAGTGGGCTTCAGGGCAAAGGCTTATGGGTATTCATTCACAAAGCAGCACTGGGGCGGTTGTACTGTGGGACAGATTTTGTATTTTACTCTCATTTGAAATATTTAAAGCTTTTTAATGTTATGATTAATTACAGTCATTAGGGTAGGGCACATTACTCCTGCCTACACTGTGGTTTTATAGCAATGAATTGAACATGCAGCCTTAATGTATTCATATGGCACAGTCCAAACATAATTATAGGCATATGTCCAATGGACCCAGTTGCCCATGTGTCATATGATTCTTCTGAGTGTGTCTATATTGTAGTGACAATTAAAGAACAGTTGGATCAAATATCCTAAACCCCGTTGTGGGCCATCATGTTTACATCTCAAATAATCCTTATTTAGTAACACAACAAGTTTTGTTTCATTCTGTGTCCATATTAATACCCAGTGATTATTATTACCTTTTCTCAGCCTCAAAGATTCATGAGAAACAGGATGATGAGTCAGAGAGGTTTCACTTTTAAGGAAGATTTCATAATACAGTTTAATAATTTAATTCATTAAAATTAATAAAATGAGAAAAAGATTAGATACATGTAACAAACATTGTCATTAAGAACAGAAAATGCTGATAATTAACTTAATCCATGTTTTATAATCCATACACAATTATAAAACAGACAGTAATTGTCTCTCTGTAACATCACTCATGTTTTTTCCCTTAGTAAGGACCAGTCCTGTGTTTACCCTGTTCCCAAACTAAGTAGGATAAAAGAAAATCATCAATTTATGTTTTTGTTCAGTGTATCACTTTATCCAGTTGGAAACTGAAGATGCTTGGGATTTTAGTAAAGTAACTCACGACTCAAGGGTACAACAGAAAACTCAGATCTGAAAAAAATCTTCAGTTATCGTCTCTGGAGATAACAGCTCAACACAAACCATGAAACGGTCTGTGTTGAATGGAGTGCTTTCAGAAAACACTATGGTTGTCTTTTTCTGATCATACTGGGAGTTTTTACTATGGAGATACATTTTAATAAAACGATGATTGGTCATTTTGTTTTTCCTTTTTCATAACATTCGGAATTTTTACTATGGTGATAAATTTTAATAATATAATTATTGGTTATTCTGTTAAAAATAAAATATTTTAACTTGTGCTCAGAATACTATGATACCGAAGAACATTAAAAGGTAGGAGTGGACATTTTTTCAGTACATTATGGGTGTAAAGTAGTATCCAGCCATTAAGCAAGTGACACAGGAATAATACCCAGTGCATTATGGGTAAGAGACACGAGCCCACAGATACCAAGGGTACAGAATTATCTGCATGTCTTCTTGAACTGGTAGCTATGTGCTAACTTTAGAATATAGAATATAATTCTCCAAAGGAAAAATAAATAAGTAAACACATGAATCTCTATCCTTGGGTAACCTTGCCATACCATTAATTGAAGGGTTTACTTAAAAATGATATTTTAAACTTTGGAAAAGCTAATTATTACATATTCAATTAGCTTCCTTGGGTTTAGTATGTTCAGCTTCGCTACCGATTTTCTCTGTGAAGGTGCTTTAATCTTTTACTTGTGCCTGTGGCTTCAGACTCTTGCGGGTGTGACTCCAGTCTTCCACAAGTGTCATGTACTTATGAATAGAATGTAGCTATGGAAATGTGTCAGGTTTTTCCTAGAATTCTTAGCAGCTGCTGTTGACCCGGTCACCCAAATTATCCTCATGCTATCAGGAAATGTGCGTATGTGTGTGTGTGTGTGTGTGAGTGTAAATGCAAGCATGAGAATCTGACATAGGACATACTGGGAAACATTATTAAATTGATTTCAATAAATTCAGCTTGCAGAATTTCTCTATGTTGTCCAAGATTTGCTCATAATTCTCATATCTTCTTAAATACATATACAGAAATTGCCAGTGCTCCACAAACGTTAAAAAAAAAAAAAAAAGTGAACTAAGCAAACAAACACTGGGGAGAATTCTTGTCGTCATGTTGCAACATGACATGGGAGAGGTGTGTGGCTCAGGGGGTTAATATGCCAATGCCTGTGAAAGGACAATCACTGATTCAAGTCCCATGCTCAGCAGAGTGATGTCACTGTTGGGCCCTTAACCTACAATTGCTCCAGGGTCTGTGTGACCCTGCTTTCTCAAAAAGAAAAAAGAAATGTATATTCCTTTGGATGAAGGAGTCTACCTCATGATAGCTCCAGCCTGCTTCTTCCTGTGTCATTTCTAGTTTATGGTCCCTGCATATCTCGGATAGCTGGTTTTACACTCAGTTGCCTGTTTTTTCCAACTACAGCAGAAGGATCCAGTTCACCCCCACATGAGACCCCCCCCCCATGTCCCTCCCAGACCACCTGCTCATGATCCCCTCCCCATTGACCTGACCATGCTTCTCCAATGAGATTGCTTAGCCGTGGTCTCTTGAGGGCCCATTCCAAACACATTTGGTCCCCACAATGTTATGTATACCTGGACCACACACACACACACACACACACACACACACAACCAGCAGCAGCACAATCGGCAGTATGTGTTGCCGATTGAACAACCTCCACTATATCCCAGATACAAGAGGTACAGTCCATCTACCCATGTAGCCCAGCTGGGATAGTCCCAGTGCAGAAGACCGGGCAGGTGTGGTGGGTCTGCCTGGTGCTGAGCAGTCATTGGCTGTAATTAACCAGGCTGGAGTATCCAGAGCAACCCGGTGGGGTGGGGGAGGTGGGGTGTATAATGGGGTAGGCTGCCAGCTGCCAGTCACTGCGCACTGTTCAAACAGGGGGCTGGGAGGGTCTCTTCCTCTTCTCAGGCCTCACAGCTGCCGGACAGGAAGAGGCCTTGAAGTGCTAACAAGCTAATTTTAGCACTAATGCATGCAACCCGCCATGTTCCCTTTTTTGGACGTGCCATCATCTCCGCTGATGGGGGGGGGGGGGGGATGGTGCCCATCATGGGATCCTGGAGATTCGTCCTGTAATATAGGACGAAATTTAACCCCATTGAACATAAACACAACCCTTATTTTGTAGTGTTTTCCAAACAAAATGAGCCAGACAAAGTTTTCGATGGTTCCTTTCCAATACACTGTGTACATGAATATATGATGTTTAAAATATAACAATCATGATGTAATAACAGTGAAAACATACATTTACATTTTGTTTGGTTATTTATAAAATACTACTATAATTATTGATTCTCAGGTCAGCCAAGTACAATCAATAAATAAGTGCATATAACAATAAGTAATAACCAGCATTATCAGGATAACGATACATATCTGCCATTCCTGAAATCAAACATATACTGTATATCAAGACCGAGATCATTCTCGGTGCCCACGTTCACCTGCATTTTGATCATGGTATGCCACAGTGATAGGGTTGCAGGACTCATTCATGTTAACTGGGGGACTTCATTATACATCATCTATTTTTTAGTGTATCTAAAGCATGTAAAATATTTAGTGTGGTCAGCTGAAGTATATTGAAAGTATAAGATTTCAGCGCACTGTTTATTAATAAATGTATTCTAAGTCATGCTTTGTCTTCAATTGCTCCATATCTGTCCAATTACTATATACTCATATGCGCTGCTCTTATATAAGAGGTGGATGCTGTTGCTATGCATTAACAACAGTGATTATTAAATGTCCCATGGCATTGTTAGGAAACACTCTGAGAATGGACAGCCAAGCCTTGAAGTCTGCTGTGGTGGATGCTACGCTAATGGGCTAGCCGGCGACCACCCGAGCTTGTACCTGATCACATGGCCGGTGATGGAAAATCTGTGGACAGGCTGGGGGGGTGGAACACAGTGTTGCTACCTAGGGCCGGCAGGATGCAGCTGTCACACTAATCAAGCCTGCTATTCAGTTTCACAGGTGGGGTCAGCACTCACGTTTATTAAGCTAACCTTCATCAGGCTGGTATTAAATTTAAAAGGGACAGGGAGAGGATGCGATAAATAAATGATACTGACAAAGATGAGGTTTCACATGTCCATTGTCTCCCTGGCGACAGGGATTCCGACTCCGCCAGGGGTGCAGCTGTTGTTGCCACGGCGATGGGGATCTGCATGTTCCTTTGTCTGCTTGATTACAACATTTAGGCCTGAGGTGGGGGGTGTGTAATAAAGGCATTTGACACAAGCCCTGATTGTCCCCAAGCCCCCAACATCTCCTCAGGCCTTGGTGGAGGTGGCTTGGGGGGTGGGGGGTTACTTTGCTTTACCCCCCCCCCCCAAAGACACCAGCACCTCCGTCTATCCCTT